GTTCCTCTAAGAAACACCTCAACCTGGGTAAACCCTGTCTGCCCTCCAAAGAAGAAGTCAATTACTGGAACAACCCACACGGACTGGATTCAGAGAGAGACACCTTTTCTGGAAAAGTTAGTCCTGTCGCCTTTACTCCCTTTTGAACATTGAAGCTCAATTTTCCCACTGAGCCTGAACTGACCACTGGAACTTCCCCTTCACTTTTCAGGCCCGGTTCGCCAGTGTTCAGAGCAGCACGGGACCCTTCTCCACCGATTCTTAATAAACCTGTTAAACCTTCTCTTTGTTTGGTTTTCTGCATGTGGGTCAGATCTTTGAATAAACTCATGACAGAAAGAAATGTCAAAAGTTAAGACGTTGTTACAAACATACATAACAGTAACCTATAAGATAACTTTGATTCATCTTTTGATTCCCTTTCACATTCTGTCTTACTGATTCGACTCTCTCAGGATCCATTACATTTGACGATATTTGCCTGCTTTGTCTTCGAGAAGTGCTCAAGATTATTTAGAATGTGAGGACATCTTAAGCTAAATCCTTTTGATGCATGCTTTGAGTTACTGCTTTGTCCTGCAGCACTGCACCACTACAGCACTTTTAATTGTATCTGTATGTTTTTTATGTGTTATGTATTGTTTTATGGCTGTGTTGTAAAGCACTTTGGGTACCATTTGGCTATTGTAAAGGGCTATATAAATAAACTTGATTGATTGATTGAATGCAAGCTTTCCCCTTATGGAAGTACTAGCTGATATGATAAAATAAGAAGAACTTGACTAATTGAAAACTATATTTAACCCTTAGTCCAGCACTGCTCTGAAGTCCACTTTAATTTGCTATCTATGTTTATTTCTACCATACTTAACCTGTGTGATGATGTTATGCTTTGCATTGCCTAATTATTTTAACTCACACATCTAAAGGGCATTTTCTTCTTTTTGCATTTCACAACTTTGGATAGATTTTTTAAAAAAAAGGCTTCCATAGTGGTCAGTCCCAAGAGACACTGAAAATCAGACATGAGCATCAGGGCTTGGAACAAGTAGCTGCTACCATAGCCTAGCTAAGCCAAGTCTTACTTAAAGGAATAGTACACCCAAAACATGATTAGCCTTCATTTTCTACTCACCCCCATGCTGAACAACAC